TTAGGGACCAGCCGGTGGTAGCCTCTAGCGTTCCACAGACCAGAATTCCCCAGGGAGCGGAATCTAAGCTCCGACCTGCTTGTTCACCAGAGCCCCTGAAGGTGGGGATGGACTTGGAGCAAGCCGAGACCAGGTTGCGACCCCTGGGTGCAACCAGCTGTGGTAGAGGCACCTGTCGGTGGTACGCAGCAGGTGAGAGTCTGATGTGAGGAGGTAGAGTAAGCGAAGTCAGACAGGCCGGGTCGGTAACAGCGGAGCAGGTCGGTACAAAAAACAGCAGGCAGAAGAATAAACGGGTCACGGTCCGAGTTTGGCAACAGGAGATCAAAAGTGCAGGAGCAGGCAGGAGAATGGTCAGGCAAGCCAGGGGTCAGAGCAGGAGAAGTCAGCAGATCAGGATCAGGCAGGGTCAGCAGCAAAGTAAACTCACAGGAACACAGGAAAAACCATACGGCACTTGAGCATTGCAAGAGCTGGGTTTAAATAGCCCGCCCGACTCCTGACAGATGCTCCTGGGTCCTAATGCTTGCCCGGCGCAATCATTGGTGACAGGCGTGCCTGGGTCCTAGTGCCTGCCTGCCTGTAGGTTTTGTCAGGACTCTACACATGTGCGGATTCGATCGCCGCAGCGATCTTCCCCATTCCCTGACATTAGCTCACCAGTTTAGAGCCAACAGTAAATGATGGCTGTAGATTGATGGCTGTAGAATGATGGCTGTCACAGTGATGTCTGTGGTGGTGCTTGATTTGTCTGGCACAATCATCATTTTTGTAAATGTATATATACTGTAGGTGCATGTTGGAGTGGGGCTGGAGATGGGGCGGGGGGGTCTTTACATTTTCTTCTTCTTTCTTTTTTTAAACTTTTTTACTTTTTTTTTTTCTTTCAAAATTACAGGTAAATGATGATCTAGTGTCTGATGACTGACATCATTATATTTGATTGCTCCACACCACTGCTGGTAATAGATATTTATGATCCTCTTTACTACAATTGCCTGGGTACTGCTGACCAAAGACACAACTTATAAGGAGACGACCCAAGAAAATTGAGAATAGAGGTCTGCAGGGGGTGGGGTAATACTGTGAATACAGGGTGTTGTGGCGACATCTTCTCAGACACCCTGCATTCATAGAGACTCCTCATTATTCCATGGATGAGTGAGGCAGGACAGTATTCAACCCAGAAGACTGAGGACATCTTGTGACCAATAAGAAGAGCTGCGGGGAGACAGCTCCGGATGGAAGGTGATTATTGCAGCAATCCCATATTACACCATCCACTTTATACTGACTCATACAGCACTGTACTGCAATCCAATACTACACTCCCCCTCACCCTACACTGCCTGATACAGCACTGTACTACAATCCAATACTACTACACCCCCCCTCCCTACACTGCCCTGATACAGCACTACCCCCCACCCTACACTGCCTGATACAGCACTGTACTACAATCCAATACACCACCTCCCCCAACCTACACTGCCTGATACAGCACTGTACTGCAATCCAATACTACACTCCCCCTCACCCTACACTGCCTGATACAGCACTGTACAACAATCCAATACTACACCCCCCCTCCCTACACTGCCTGATACATCACTACCACCCCACCCTACACTGCCTGATACAGCACAGTAACTACAATCCAATACACCACCTCCCCCAACCTACACTGCCTGATACAGCACTGTACTACAATCCAATACTACACCCCCCCCCTACACTGCCTGATACAGCACTGTACTACAATCCAATTCTACACCCCTCCCTACACTGCCTGATACAGCACTGTACTACAATCTAATACTACACCCCCCACCCAACACTGCCTGATACAGCACTGTACTACAATCCAATTCTACACCCCCTCCCCTACACTGCCTGATACAGCACTGCACTACAATCCAATACTACACCCCCCACTCTACACTGCTTGATACAGCACTGTACTACAATCCAATATTACACCCCCCCACCCTACACTGCCTGATACAGCACTGCACTACAATCCAATATTACACCCCCCACTGCCTGATACAGCACTGCACTACAATCCAATACTACACCTCCTCCACCCTACACTGCCTGATACAGCACTGCACTGCAATCCAATACTACCCCCCCACCCTACACTGCCTGATACAGCACTGTACTATAATCCAATACTACACCCCCCCACCCTACACTGCCTGATAAAGCACTGTACTACAATTCCAATACACCACCTCCCCCAACCTACACTGCCTGATAAAGCACTGTACTACAATCCAATACTACACCCCCCACGCTACACTGCCTGATACAGCACTGCACTACAATCCAATACTACACCCCCCACCCTACACTGCCTGATACAGCACTGTACTACAATCCAATATTACACCCCCCCACCCTACACTGCCTGATACAGCACTGCACTACAATCCAATACTACACCCCTCACCCTACACTGCCTGATACAGCACTGTACTACAATCCAATATACACCTCCTCCACCCTACACTGCCTGATACAGCACTGTACTACAATCCAATACTACACCTCCTCCACCCTACACTGCCTGATACAGCACTGTACTACAATCCAATACTACACCTCCTCCACCCTACACTGCCTGATACAGCACTGTACTAAAATCCAATACTACTACACCTCCCCCACCCTACACTGCCTGATACAGCACTGTACTACAATCCAATACTACACCCAACACCCTACACCGCCTGATACAGCACTGTACTACAATTCAATACTACACCCTCACCCTACACTGCCTGATACAGCACTGTACTACAATCCAATACACCACCTCCCCCAACCTACACTGCCTGATACAGCACTGTACTGCAATCCAATACTACACTCCCCCTCACCCTACACTGCCTGATACAGCACTGTACTACAAATCCAATACTACACCCCCCCTCCCTACACTGCCTGATACATCACCCCCCCCCACCCTACACTGCCTGATACAGCACTGTACTACAATCCAATACACCACCAACTCCCCCAACCTACACTGCCTGATACAGCACTGTACTACAATCCAATACTACACCCCCCACCCTACACTGCCTGATACAGCACTGTACTACAATCCAAATCTACACCCCTCCCTACACTGCCTGAATACAGCACTGCACTACAATCCAATACTACACCCCCCACCCTACACTGCCTGATACAGCACTGTACTACATTCCAGTTCTACACCCCCTCCCTACACTGCCTGATACAGCACTGTACTACAATCCAATACTACACACCCCCCCACCCAACACTGCCTGATACAGCACTGTACTACAATCCAATTCTACACCCCCTCCCTACACTGCCTGATTGTCAGGAATGGACTGGCCAGCTATGGTGGGACTCACCTGCCTTTTGATCTGCAGTACTAGGGCTGGCCAGCGGGTGTTCCCAGCAATCAGAGACTCAACTTTGCAGCCAGCTAACACCTGTAACTGATTATGCTGGGGTATTTAAGGGATGGCCAGACCCACAGACCCTGCCTTGGTGTGTGTTTGTCCTGGGCCCTGTATCCTGTTTCTGTCCTGCATCCTGTTTCTGAACCGCTGCTGACTTCTCCTGCTCTGATCCCGGCTCGCTCCTGACCATCCCTCTGTCTGACCCTCTGTACCACGCTGCTTGCTACCTGTTCTGATCCCTGGCTTGTGACCCTGACCAATCTCCGCTTGCTCCCCCTGTACCTACCTGCCCTATTGATATTGACCCGCCTGCCTGACGACGCTTGCTTGTATGTACTGTTATCTGTGGGTGGTTTGGTTTGGTTTGTTTGCACTGTATTATGTTTTAGTATTGCACTGCGTTTATGTTTGTATTGTTAGTGTTAATAAATTGTTTATAACATATCTGAGGTCTGCGTTTCCCTGCGTCAGTCACACATCTCTGGTCACACCTGGGGAGCCCTGACATTACACCAAGGCCAATCCTGACCAGAAGTGGCTGCACAGGGAAGCCATCTTGGCTTGTTGATGGGAAGGATGGATCTGGATGAGGTTGTGTATTTATATCTGCTAGTGTTTGATGACAGGGAGTATGCTTATCAGACTCTGAAGGAGTATCCCCGGGATGAACTGCTAGAATGTATACGGCTCGCTCATGTTCTAGTAGATCAAGGGCACAGAGTTCTCTATGGTGCAGCCATTGATTCAGGTTTGTGTTGAGTTGGTTTCATCTGGTTCCCCCGAATGCAGGGGATGAATTTTTGCCACCATGTAGTGCAGACCAGGTTGAGTCCCTGGTGTGGTTATTAGAGGATGATGTGGATTACTTTCTGGAGCGTTATTTCACATGTTCACCACAGACACTAAGAGATTGTATAAACGCAGTGCAGTCATTGATCAGACAGGCTTTGTGTAAGCTCAGCTTTGTTCAACCCCTACTGCAGACATGGACAGACTTGTTGCACCCAGCCTCAGTCAGCTTACAAAGACCCAGTCCTGCTTCTAACTCTATTCCTGTATTCCCAACAGCTCCTCCAGTTACAGCCCAGTATACTTGGCTATCTACCGCATGTCAGTACCCTGTTCCCCACTCGCTGCACCTATCCTGCCTTTAACCCCTGTAAAAAAGCCCTCTGTAGCAACTGCTCCCTCTCCTGTTCCATCCTCCAGTTTTTCTCTGTCTCCAGCTGCTCCATTCGTTTGCAGACCTGCGTTTACTTGCAGTGCTCCAGTAGTTAAAACCAGAAAAAAGCGAAAATTCTTTCCAACCAATACCATCCTGCCAGTATCCAAACCGGTGAACCTGCCTTCCGTGACTCAGCCTGAAGCCTCTACTCAGCCGGATGCCTCTCTTCAGCCGGATGCCTCTCCTCAGCCTGAGGCCTCTCCTCAGCCTGAAGCCTCTCCTCAGCCTGAAGCCTCTCCTCAGCCTGAAGCCTCTACTCGGCCTGATGCCTGCATTCAGCCTGATGCCGCTACTCAGCATGATGAACTGATCCAGCCCGACGATCCTATTAGGCCAGTTGACTCGATGCCCGCTGTTGATCCAGATGATCCGGTACCTGATCCAGTGCCCGCTGTCGTGCCAATTGACTCAGAGCCCGCTGTCATACCTGGTGACCCGGTGCCCACTGCCTTGCCAGAGATGACGCGGTGCCCGCTGGCAAGCCAAATGACCTGATGCCTGGTGACCCAGTGCCCGCTGTCATACCTGGTGACCCGATGCCCGCTGTCGAGCCAGACAATCCGATACCTGATGACCCGGTGCCCACTGTCGTGCCTGTTGACTCGGAGCCCACTGTCTTGCCAGACGACTCGGTGCCCGCAGTCTTGCCAGACGACTCGGTGCCCGCAGTCTTGCCAGACGACTCGGTGCCCTGCTGTTCCGCCAGTTGACTCGATGCCCGCTGTTCCGCCAGTTGACTCGGTGCCCGCTGTCTTGCCAGACGACTCGGTGCCCGCAGTCTTGCCAGATGACTCGGTGCCCGCAGTCTCTTGCCAGGCGACTCGGTGCCTGCTGTTCCGCCAGTTGACTCGATGCCCGCTGTTCCGCCAGTTGACTCGGTGCCCGCAGTCTTGCCAGACGACTCGGTGCCCGCAGTCTTGCCAGACGACTCGGTGCCCGCAGTCTTGCCAGACGACTCGGTGCCCGCTGTTCCGCCAGTTGACTCGATGCCTGCTGTTCCGCCAGTTGACTCGGTGCCCGCAGTCTTGCCAGACGACTCGGTGCCCACTGTCGTGCCTGGTGACTCGGTGCCCGCCGCTTCGTCTGGGGGCCCGAGACCTGTTGCTCCGCCTGAGGGCCCAAGACCTGTCGCTCCATCTGGGGGTCCGGCGCCCGCCGCTCCGCCTGAGGGCCCGAGACCTGTAGCTCCGCCTGGGGGTCCGGCGCCCGCCGCTCCCCCTGGAGGCCCGATGCCTGTCGCCCCGCCTGGGGGCCCGATGCCTGTCGCCCCGCCTGGGGGCCCGATGCCTGTCGCCCCGCCTGGGGGTCCGATGCCTGTCGCTCCGCCTGAGGGCCCGAGACCTGTAGTTCCGCCTGGGGGTCCGAGGCCTGTCGCCCCGCCTGGGGGTCCGAGGCCTGTCGCCCCGCCTGGGGGTCCGAGGCCTGTCGCCCCGCCTGGGGGCCCGATGCCTGTCGCCCCGCCTGGGGGCCCGATGCCTGTCGCCCCGCCTGGGGGCCCGATGCCTGTCGCCCCGCCTGGGGGTCCGATGCCTGTCGCCCCGCCTGGGGGTCCGATGCCTGTCGCCCCGCCTGAGGGCCCGAGACCTGTAGTTCCGCCTGGGGGTCCGGCGCCCGCCGCTCCGCCTGGGGGTCCGAGGCCTGTCGCCCCGCCTGGGGGTCCGATGCCTGTCGCCCCGCCTGGGGGTCCGATGCCTGTCGCCCCGCCTGGGGGTCCGATGCCTGTCGCCCCGCCTGAGGGCCCGAGCCCTGTAGTTCCGCCTGGGGGTCCGGCGCCCGCCGCTCCGCCTGGGGGCCCAAGGCCTGTCGCCTTGCCCGGGGGCCCGGTGCCTGTCGCCCCGCCCGGGGGCCCGCTGCCTGCTGCTTCGCCTGGTAGCCCGATGTGCCTCTGCCCGGGGTCCTGCCCGATGTGCCTCTGCCCGGGGTCCTGCCCGATGTGCCTCTGCCCGGAGTCCGGCCCGATGTGCCTCTGCCCGGAGTCCGGCCCGATGTGCCTCTGCCCGGAGTCCGGCCCGATGTGCCTCTGCCCGGAGTCCGGCCCGATGTGCCTCTGCCCGTGTCCGGCCCGATGTGCCTCTGCCCGGAGTCCGGCCCGATGTGTCTCTGCCCGATGTGCCTCTGCCCGGTGTGCCTCTGCCCGGTGTGCCTCTGCCCGGAGTCCAGCCCGATGTGCCTCTGCCCGGAGTCCAGCCCGATGTACCGCTGCCCGGAGTCCTGCCCGGTGTGCCAGTCTTTGATATCCCGCCAGTTACCAGACCCGGGCGGTGGGAACATTTTTCCCAGCTAGGACTGTTTGGAGCGTCCTGAGGCCGCTCCTTGAGGGGGGGGGGTACTGTCAGGAATGGACTGGCCAGCTATGGTGGGACTCACCTGCCTTTTGATCTGCAGTACTAGGGCTGGCCAGCGGGTGTTCCCAGCAATCAGAGACTCAACTTTGCAGCCAGCTAACACCTGTAACTGATTATGCTGGGGTATTTAAGGGATGGCCAGACCCACAGACTCTGCCTTGGTGTGTGTTTGTCCTGGGCCCTGCATCCTGTTTCTGTCCTGCATCCTGTTTCTGAACCGCTGCTGACTTCTCCTGCTCTGATCCCGGCTCGCTCCTGACCATACCTCTGTCTGACCCTCTGTACCACGCTGCTTGCTACCTGTTCTGATCCCTGGCTTGTGACCCTGACCAATCTCCGCTTGCTCCCCCTGTACCTACCTGCCCTATTGATATTGACCCTCCGGCCTGCCTGACGACGCTTGCTTGTATGTACTGTTATCTGTGGGTGGTTTGGTTTGGTTTGTTTGCACTGTATTATGTTTTAGTATTGCACTGCGTTTATGTTTGTATTGTTAGTGTTAATAAATTATATTGTTTATAACATATCTGAGGTCTGCGTTTCCCTGCGTCAGTCACACATCTCTGGTCACACCTGGGAGCCCTGACACTGATACAGCACTGCACTACAATCCAATACTACACCCCCCACTCTACACTGCTTGATACAGCACTGTACTACAATCCAATATTACACCCCCCACCCTACACTGCCTGATACAGCACTGCACTACAATCCAATACTACACCTCCTCCACCCTACACTATAACAGGGATACATGATACTAGGAGTACTCTACCGTTGTATCACATTAGAAGTACTCTATAACAGTGATACATGATACTAGGAGTACTCTACCGTTGTATCACATTAGAAGTACTCTATAACAGGGATACATGATACTAGGAGTACTCTACCATTGTATCACATTAGACGTACTCTGTAACAGCGATACATGGTACTAGGAGTAGTACTCTTACCATTGTATCACATTAGAAGTACTCTCTACAGCGATACATGATACTAGGAGTACTCTTACCATTGTATCACATTAGAAGTACTCTATAACAGGGATACATGATACTAGGAGTACTCTACCATTGCATCACATTAGAAGTACTCTATAACAGGGATACATGATACTAGGAGTACTCTACCATTGGGTTACATTAAAAGTACTCTATAACAGCCAGGGGCAGACTGACCATTTGGAAACTCGGTCACTGCCCGAGGGCTGGGGGGGGGTCAGTAGGGGGCCCCATGAGATGCCCCTGGTACCTTTTTCATAGGCTTTTTTGAGTTGGGCAAGGACACAGGGGCCCCTTGATCCCCTATTGCCCGGGGGCCCCATGAGTTGTCAGTCCACCCCTGATAACAGCGATACATGATACTAGGAGTACTCTACCATTGTATTCCTTTAGAAGTACTCTATAACAGGGATATATGATACTAGGAGTATTCTACCATTGTATTACATTAGAAGTACTCTATAACAGTGATACATAATACTAGGAGTACTCTACCATTGTATTACATTAGAAGTACTCTATAACAGAGATACATGATACTAGGAGTACTCTACAACATTTTTTACTTACCCAATTACCCACCCTATCCCCTCCATGCTCCTAGACCAGTCCTCCACAGTCTTTTCTTTCCTACATTTCTGTGTTCTAAAATCCTCTGGAGTCACCAAAACCCATGCAGGGACCATTGCCGTGAATTGAACATGAAGGGACAGTCCACTGCCAGAGAGTAGGGGAGCACCGCCTGCTGGGAGAGGGGGATCAGGTAAGTAAAAGTGCCCATAGACAGAAAAGAGCAGTCAACCTTTGCAGTACAGGCACTGCTCCACAGCAAGGGAGGACTTTTACATTTCCTGGAGCTGGGCATTTAAATCTTAAGGGTCAACTGTGAGCAAATATTTTTATCTTGGTTTGGTCCTTCAGCAAGTTTAAAATATAAAAACAAAACAGCTCTGGCATGGAATACATGTTCAGTCAGAAGCTGTCTACCACAGCATCTCATTTTGGCTAAAAGATGTCCTCTGTTTTCCGGGTTGGATGATGCTCGGTGACACTTAGGGCGTGTTCACAGTAGCACAGGGTGTCAAACTGGTAGACCTCCAGCTGCTGCGAAACTACAAATCCCATCATGCCTCTGCCTTTGGAAGTCATGCTTGTAACTGTCAATCTTACAATGCCTCACGGGACTTGTTTTTTGGCAACAGCTGGAGGGCCGCCAGTTTGACACCGTAGACTAGCACTAGCAAATACAGATCATGTGATTACTGTAATAGCCTGTGATTGGTTGTCCTAGTGATGACCTGCCACTTTACTTTCTTTCTGAATGGAGAAAAAGATACATTGTATCCTAACCAGAGCAGAAAAATGTAAGGCGGGTTCTTTCAAGCTTTTTTTTAGTTGAGGCACCCTTTAGAACTGTGCACAATCCATGGGGCTGAGGGCTCTTTCACACCAGGAGGAGCGTCTGGGCATGCACATTTTTGCATGTTCACGCACGTCTCATTTTTTAATGTTCAGTGATGCTAGGTGGAAACTATTCTCCCTCCAAATTCCCCCTTCTCAAACAAATCCACCCTCCTAGCACCCCCAAAATTCTCCCTTCTCGCACAAATCGACCCTCCTAGCACCCCCAAAATTTCCCTCTCTAACACAAATCCACCTTCCTAGCACCTCCCAAATTCCTCCTTCTAGCACAACCCCCCTGCTCCCAAATCCCCACTTCTAGTGCAAACCCTAACTCCAACCCCCATCCCTACTCCTGGCACAACCCCTTCAAATCCCCCCCCTCTTAGCACAACCCCCCCCCAACTCCCCTTTCCTAACACAACCCCTCATTCCCAATCAACACTCCAAACCCCCCAATCATCTCCTAGCACAACCTCCCAAAATTCCCACTCATATCACAACCACCTCAAATTCCGCCTCTTAGCACAAACCCCCACATGTTCTCAAATCCCCTTTCCAAACCCCCCCCCCACAATCCCCTCTCCAAGCATAACCCCCTCAAATCCTCCTCTTAGCACAACCCCCCCCCCCAACTCCCCCCTTCCTAACACAACTCCCCTTTCCCAATCCTCACTCAAAACCCCCCCAATCTCCTCTCCTAGTACAACCCCCCAAATTCCCCCTCCTATCACAACCCCCCCCCAAATTCACCCTCTAAGCACAACCCCCCAACTCCCCCCTTCCTAACACAACCCCCCGTTCCCAATCCCCACTCCAAACCCGCCAATCTCCTCTCCTAGCACAACCTCCCCAAATTCCCCCTCCTATCACAACCCCCTCAAATTCCCCCTCTTAGCACAACCCCCCCATGTTCTCAAATCCCCACTCCAAACCCCCCCTCCCAATCCTCTCTCCAAGCACAACCCCCTCAAATTCTCCCTCCTAGCACAACCCCTCAAATTTCCCTCCTATCACAAACCCCCCAAATCACCTTCTTGGCACAACCCCCCTGTTCTCAAAATCTCCACTCCTAGCACAAACCCCCACTCTTACCCCCCCAGTCCCCTCTCTCCAGCACACAATCCCCTCAACCCCCCCTCCCAAATCCCCCCTCCTAGCATAACCCCCTCTTAGCACAAATCCACCACCAAATCCTTCCTTCTTGCACAAAATCCTCCCTCCCTCATCTCCCCCTTATTAACACAGCACCCCCTTTCCCAATTCCAACTCCAAACCCCCCGTGATGGACAGCAGAAATATTATTTTATTTTTGTGTTG